ACCCTCGGAGAAACCCTACCAAGCCCACCCCCAAGAGCCAGCTGCCACAGAGTCCAGTGTCCTGTTACCTGTGCCCACGCTGCCAGCTGGCAGAAACCATCTCTTATACCTCAGCCCCTGTGCACCCTGCTGCCTCCTGGGATGCTGCCTTTTACCAGAGAACAGGCTGTGGAGCACCCCCTTTGCCATCTAGAGGCAGCAGGGATTGGCGGCAGCCAAATGCAGATTCCACAGGAGAGAAGTCAGGCCTGTCCTCCAGGCCTCTTGAGACTCGTGGCAGGTGGCACCGAGAGAACAGGAACATTTTGGTGGAAGAACCCCAAGTTAGAACACAAGCTCCCCCTATCCAGGTTGTGAAATCTCAGCAAGACTTTTGACTTCTTTGAGTGAGCATTTCATTGTCTGTGACTAGAAGAAGGAAAGCCCTTTCTTCAGTGAAGGATTAAATGAGGAGCTAAGTGGCAACTTGGCCGAGTGCCTGTGCCCAGTCATCCACCCGGGACCCTGCGTGCCCCTTTCTAGTAGCCTCGCCTGGCTGAGCCCCCAGGACTGGCATCACTGCCACAGTCAGGGCGGCGTCCTTCTCACACCCAGACTGTCTGAGCCCTCCGTGGGTGACTCGGCTGCCTCACCGTGCCTTCCCCTGCGCCCCTGGAGGTGATGATGCCCCAGGGTGAGTGTGGAAGCAGGAAGGCCTGTGAGGCTTAGTCTTTCCCTTTCTTCTTCCTCTCAGGATCCGCCCACTGGCAGGAAGCATCTGTGGTCCCTGATCTGGGCCTTGTGGGAAGTCCTGCAGCTGTGGGAAGTCCTGCACACTGGGGTTCGGAAGCCCGGAGCTGGCACACGACTCTGCTACTTTTTCACCTTTTTAAAAAAAAAAAAAAGATTTATTTATTTATTTATTTATTTATTTATTTATGCATACAAGAACTGGGGTGCAGGCCAGAGGTGCAGGGGGTGAGAAGAGTCACCAGAGACAGAGTGGGGAGCAGAACAGGAGATTGAGTGACATACACTGCTGAGGGGAGCAGCAGGTGAGTCAGGAGAGGTCTGCTGCACTTTGTGGGTAGCTCCCCAACCAGGGATCGAACTAGTGCTGCAGAGGCTGCGGACAGCTTCATGGTGCTGAGACTTAACCCCGTGTGCCACCAGGGAGGCCCACTTTTTCTCCTTTGCCCAGACTGAAGGGTGTTTGGTTCTCGCTCTGTCTGCTCTTCTTGACCTGGTGGTGGGCTCCCCTCGAACCCAGCCCCCCTGAAAGCCTTGTCTGAGTCATGGTCTCCTGGGCGAAAGACACAGATAGATGCGCTTGTGACGTGTGTGCCAGCGAATCAGCCCCACCTCACACTCCACTCGTGACAGCACATGGACATCTGAGGCTCGCTCAGCTCTTTGCTCTGTCTCCATCCTTCCCTCTCTCGTCCTCCTCTCCCTCTCCCCCCACCGCGTATCTCTGCCTCCCTGCTCCCTCTTCGCATGACCACCCCCCGTTTCTCTCCCTCTTCCCCCATCTCTGTCACCAAGTGTGACCCACCCAGTTGTTCGATAAACTCTGCCTGAATCGTGCACGCATCAGCCCCTGGAATCAGAGACTCACTTTCCATCTCTCAGCACCTGCCCCAGCCCCTGCGGTGATGTGGGGGACACAGAGGCTCCGCACCACGTGCTGTTTCTCCATCACCCGAATGGTCCGAGCCTGTGTGCCAGCCTCGCGTTGGTGCCGGCGCCTGCGAGCTGGTCACTTCGGTGACTGGTGTTGAATTAGGTACAGAGTGATCATAAGATTGGAAATCAAAATAATGACTACACCTGGGAAAACACCTCTTGGAGCTACAGAACATGTGGTTCTCTGCATGATATATAAGACAGGTAACCCATACTTACCCATACGTGCGTGTACCCTTCCCATGTCCTGCCACAGGGTGGGTGTTTTTGCCCTTGCTGTAAATCCATGGACACTAAAGCTAATCAATAGTAAATATTTTGCTGAACACACTGCTGTCAAATTTGGACCCACAAACTGTCCTCACAATGGCATGGACAGTTTGGTCCTGGTTCCCCAGTAGGGACTCAGCTTTCAAATAACATTCAGCGATGGTTATTCATTTCCAGGGACCCCTCCAAGACTGGGCGCAGAGCTGTGAGCAAGAGAATGTTCTGGGGCTGTGGTGCTTTCTCTTGGTGTGATAGGGGGCTGCCCCCTTATGGAAGCCAGGAAAGGAAAATGTGGGGTCCGTGGGTCTCTGCAGGATGGGTTGGGGTCTCTAATGCTTGTCCACTTTAAGAGCGAGACGCTTGTCAATTTCTGATTGCAGACCCACGCCTGCCATGAATGAGACCTCTTTCTGCCACACATGCCCAAATCCTGAGCCTAGAATGATCCTAACCCCCACCACATACTTGCCCTTCAAGTCCAGCAAGGGCATTTCCAACCAGTGAACTTCCTGGGCAGGATCTGAGCTCACTCCAACTAGCCGTTTCCAAATATGCCACAGCATGGCTGCTGGTTGAATGGATTAAATAGCACAAGGGAGAGCTCTCACCCACCACCTCCAGAGCCAGGAGAGCAAAAGGGAGCCTTCAGGATCCTTGGTGTCATGGGTGGTAAGGAAAGGCCAACACCTTTCTTTAGGTACTCTCTACCTGGAATGCTCACATGATTGTGCAGCAAACTCCTCCTCATCCTTCAAGGGCCAATCCTGATATAACCCCTTGGAGAAGCCTTCTCTTACCCCAGCAACTCTTAATTCTGGGTGTACATCAGTATCCCCTGGTCCCACAGATTGCTGGTTCCCAGCCCCAGCAGGTCTGGGGTAGGGCCTAAGAACTAGCATTTCTAACAGATGCCCAGAGAATGCTGCTGGTCCGAAGGCCACACTCTGGGAACTGCTGCCTCACTTCCCAACTTCTCAAACGGAGCTTCCTCCTCTGCCAGTTTTGACCTAGGTGTCAGTTCTGGTCCTGCTGAAGCACCTTTACTGGGATCATTCATGCTGAGCAACTTGTATAAATTCTGCTCTTCACAGCTTGAAGGGGTGCAGGGCAAGGAGAGCAGGCCCCTCCATGGCTGTGAATTCCAAGGGAGGCCATGCTGCCTCAGTCCCGCTGGCCTTCCCAGAGTGTTTCTAGTGTCCCCAGGGACAGGCCTGGGAACAGGAGCTCTAACCGCAAGTCAGGAAATTCATTCAGTGATTCCAGCCAAGTACGTACCTTGACTGGTCCTTAACCTGTTACATGTTGGGCAGTGCCTGCTGAGTTCAACACACTGTTTTGAAGCCTCAGGCTTGAGTTAGTTGACGCTTGACTCTCACGAGAGTAATATGAGCCAGGAAACCCTGTAGCACTTCTTTGGGGCTCAACTTCCCAATCTGTATAAGAGGAATAAAGGAGCTGCTACTGAAGGGACAGTCATGGGGACTAAATGAGTTAAAGCATGTCAAAAACTGGCAAGCAAGTGCTAATTGTTTTTAAAAGAAGAGGAAATAACAGTTCCTGCTATCCCTGGCAGCATGGGACACACTGACATGGGGAAGGATGGTCTACCCCTGGAAAATTCCTAAAGGCAGTTCTGGGAATTGAACCTTGGTAACCATCCATGCTGGCTTAAACGAGACTATTCTTTCTTACTGAACCGTGTGGTGCTTCATGAGCGAGTGAGGTCTAGAAACCCAGTGACAGGATCCATTCCTTCATACATGCATACACTTATTCATGAAGTCACCTATTCAGCAGACGTTTAGTAAGTACCTACTATGTGCATGATACGAAATCACAGCCTAGATCACAATGTCCCACATGCATGTGACCTTCCTACCCCTCCTGACTCAGGACTCACTGTGGGAAGCAGCTGTTCTGCCCTCACTCCAGGCCTGCTCTTCTCTCTGTGACCGGAGACCTTGTTTTATTCTCCTCCTGCCTCCGGGCTCCGTGCTGACCCCAGATCCAGCCCACCTCTGCTAGGTCCCTGGCCTGGAGGCTCCACTTCCCTCCCTCCCCTGCCCTCCTGAGATCTGGCACTAACAGTCAGTTTCTTATCAGAAAGCAGCATCTGGCAGCCTCACTGGGGAGAATGACTTCATTGCACTATAGTTAAAGTGATTATCTGAGCGGAAGTGACTATTATGAAGCAGCTTTCTCTGTTTTAATATGCGTAGGTGTTGTAACGGGAGCATGGGATTTCCATGTTCACACTGATGTTTCCGGGGTCTGAGAAATCCTTCCCCCCACTCGTCTCCCAGAGGAGAGAGACATTCTATGCAGTGGCTTGAGGAACCATACAGGTTTCTACTCTCCCTGACACCCCAGCCTCTGGCCAGGCCAGTGAGCTCCAGATCTCACTCCATGCTGAAATAGTGCCTCGGGACAGGCCTTCCCACAGGAGAGCAGCTGCGGAGACCTTAGGTGGAGCCCAGGGAGGAAACTCCAGACAGACACAGGCGTCTCCAGGAGAGAAAAAGAAAGTGTGTCCTAGGGGGACGGTGTCCTGCAGGCCCTGAAGTCCCAGCCAACCATGGATGAGCTGTGTCATCACAGCACCCACAGCCTCAGCGTCCTATCTGTGAAATGGGTGAATAATGCCGCAGCCCTCCTGGGAATGCTGTGAAGACCATGCGCTACAATAGAGGAAAGGCAGCTTACCCAGCTCATGGCATGCTCAGCAGGCTCTCCACAAAGAAGGAAAAGCTGAGGTCCCGAGAGGCAGGGGGCCCTTGCGCCAACCACGCAGTACCTTCCATCATGCCTCTGGGGGTGTCTGCTGACCTCAGCCAGATGCAGGAGCAGCTTCCACCAGGTAAAGGAGGCAACAGGTAGTCCATGTCCAGGGCACGTCAGCAGCTGGGCCAGGCTCTGTGCACCCCATTAGTGACCTGTTGGCTAATGCCTGTTCAGCCCAGGCCTGAACAGAGCAGCGCACACGTGAGCAGAGAGCAGGCCCCGCGGAGGTGCTGCTAGGCTGGGGTCTTCCCCTCTCATCTCAGGCGCTTTTGTTCTGTTCACAGAACCTGACCCCGGGGTGGCCTCCTCCGAAGCGGACATCGCAATCATCGCAGGTGAGCTGTCCTGGGGCCACGGGTAACTGGGAGGGTGAGAAGAAGCACCCAGCGCCTCTCACGGTGGGAGTGGCAAGCTGTGGCTCTCCCTCCCTCAGATGTGGCTATGCATGTGGAGTGAAGAGTCTGTACTTGCAAGAGAACGTGCCATATAGTGCCCCACGGGTGGGGGTGAGGGGAGGAAGGGACGAGGGCACTCAAGTCAGGACTGCAGATCCACAGGACTCCAGAGGCCACACAGGGAGATGTGGGGGGCGGCTGAGGGGCTGGGTGGGCTGGCCAGGCCACAGTCCCTGGCCTCTGTCTCTCTCCTCCCACACTATCCCTGGCCTGGGGCTCCTGCCCATACCCCTCCATCCTAAGGGAAATCTGGTCCTGCCCTAGCCCTGTTTTCTGTCGTGTACTGTGACCCCAAACTGTTTCAGGAACAGCTAAGACCGGGAGGGGAGCTTGCTGGTTTCTTCTTAGGGATTCGCTTCTGGCTTGTTCATTACTAACTCAAACTGTTATAGGGCAGCCCCGATACAAAACGGGGTGCCTGACTGTGGGTCCTCACCCGAGCACTTAAAAGGACTTATCAATGCTCTACTGCAGGCACACGCGAAAGGTTAATAAAAGGTTTATTTACAAGGGAAGGGGAAATGAGGAAATGTACAGCTCAGGGAGAAAAGTGGGAGACAAAGTTTTAAATGAGTCCTACCCGATCCTCCGATCAGGAATCCCAAATGGCACTCTGAGAGCTGGCTGCAAGCCAGGAGACATGAAGCCAGGAGGCGAGTGACAGCCAGCCCACCCAAGGCCCACGTGTTTGGTTTTTATACCCAACCTGGCTGCTTAACTCCACCCTCAGGTCCCAGCCACCTTCCCTTTGGTGGTGATGGGATTTGTCTTTCCCAATGTCTTGATGGCTTTGGTCTGGAGTGGGGGTGGGGTCCACAAAGCCTGTATGGGATTAGCTCAGGACATCATTTTCCCCTAACAAAACCACCTCTCAAGTTAGAGAAAGAAGGGCAGGCAAAAAAGACGCCTGTTGGATTCTGTTTATCCAGACATTCTCCACATCGGCACCTAGTGTCTTGCAATTAGACAATATTATAAATGTAATGACAGTAGCAGCATCCCCGCGAAGGTAGGAGGAAGTCTGACACTGGTCTACAAAGCTGGGATTTGGGAAGGTTCGGTGCCCTCCACCCTCATCTTCTCCAACAGCCAGCCCCTCCCCAGTGAGCCCACACTCAAAGGCAGCCAGTTCCACCCAGTTTCCGGTACTTTTCTGGTTTTAGCACTTGCAGCTTTGTACCCAGGGAGTCCTGTGTCTGGGGCAGCCCCTCAGGGCAGTTTGTCTTGGTTTTAAAGGCCTAAGTGCTGAGTCCCATGAGCCCTTCAATGTGAGGCAGATCCCCAGAGCTGCATGCCACAGATTTCGCGCACTATGCAGTGACTGCCTCAGTAGACAATGGGTGCCTGCGAGGAATCAATTTCCATTTCGGGAGACTATTGTGTGAAGGGCAAGAGGGGATAAGAATAGATGGGAGAGATGAGGGGCAGAGAGAAGAGGGAGGCAAGCATGGCCCAGCCCATTCTTCCAGCTGTTGTAGCAGCACACCTGCCCTGCACAGCCCTGGGTCCTGGCCCCTGCCCCAGACAGATCCTTGCATTTCCTGCCTGCAGGTGTGATCACTGCTGTGGCCTTCGTCCTGGTCTGCCTCCTCGTCGTCATGATGCACTACATGTACCGGCACAAGGGCACGTACCACACCAACGAGGCCAAGGGCACGGAGTTTGCGGAGAGTGCTGACGCAGCCCTGCAGGACGACCCGTACCTCCAGGAAGCCGGCGACAGCAGCAGAAAGGAGTACTTTATTTGAGGGGCACCAGTTCTAGCTCCCCCAATACCTCCTCCAATTCCACAAAAGGAAATGCACCCCACTGCCCCACCCCACCACCTACACTACCAAGCAGACAGCAAGAGCACCCACCTCGTGCCTAGATATGTACCTCACCTGCACACACAAGGTAGCAGCCTTGGCAGGCAGGAGGAACGGAGGAGGAATCAGCCAGGATGGGCCTCTCCCAGGGACCCAGGGTGCAGCACCCATGCAGAAGCCCAACCTCTGCTCTGACGGAGGAAGTCTGGGTCAGTACTTGGCACAAAAAGTACTTTGTCGCAGGCACGGGGGGACACCCTTGCTGCAGGGTGTAGCAGGGGCCCGGGAAGCAAGTGCAGGAGTCATCCACAGGCTGACTGGGGTTCAGGGCATCAAATGTCAGTCCTTGACATTTGGGGGGAACAGCAGGTGCCAGAGCTAAAAGGCACCCCTGTCTTCCATTGATCCAGCTCTAAACGATTGGAAATAAATTTGAAATGTAAGCGAGCATTCAGAGTCAAATGGCATTACTACCGTTGTCTGGGGAGAGATCCGCGCCTGGGCTGGCTTTCACAGGTGCACTCGTGTTCTTGACAGAGTGTGCGTGGCACAGGCCTGGGACGGTCCCTTCGGCTCCAGATCTCAGCGAGCACAGACAGTGCAGCAGGCGCTGGGCCTGCCGGGAAGGACAGAGCGGCTGTAACCAGCCGCCTTTCCCCACACAGGCACCCACTTCTAGAAGCCCATATAAGGTACAGCATCCCTCTAGAATGTTTTGTCGCGGTGGCCAGGGCTGGACGCTCAGCTGCAGTGTTGATTTTCTCCTGCGCAGCAGCAGAGACAATTGTCCTGTTGACAAACACAAGTCAGCCTTCCTCCTCCCCCTTCACAGCCCACGGCAAAGGCAGCCATGACCAGAGCGCAGCCAGCAGGGTCATGACCGAGGTTCGGGCCCCGCTCTCCTTTCCTGGTCCTGGACGCGTCTCCGGCGGGCGTGGCTCTGGGATACCGACACATGGGGTTGGTGGCAGGAACAGCGGGTCTGTGGCAGGCACTGTCTTCTGACGTTGGGCGTGACGGCGGATAGGCGGATATATGGAGTGTGTGTAGATCAACAAATGCTCCTCATGGTGCCATTTCTAAATGCTTTCTGAGGAGTGGCCATAATTTAGAATGAACTTGCTAGCCAACCTCCTGAGACTCTTCCCAAGGCTCCCAGAAGCTCAGCCATCCCTCCAGGCCCTCAGTTCCAAGGTCAAAGACGGCAGCCCTGGCTGCCGGACACTTCCAGAGCTCACGTTTCTGGAGGCTGCGAGTCTTCACCTGGGCATCACCATCACTCTCCCCCTGTGGTAGGGGGATCCACGCTTAGTCAGGAAAGGGCCACCAACTCGAGGAGGAGCTGGAGGTGTTCTGAGGCAGAAGAGCAGAGAAGAGCTGGAGATGGAAGGAACTTGGTGGAAGGTTCCATGGGTCACCCAAGCTTGCTGGCCCTCCACCTTTCCATCTGTAACGAGGTTTGCAACTACCCACCTGTCCCAAACTGTGATCTGTAGAACACCAGCTTGGTAAAATGGCTATGAAAAGCTCAAAAAAAAGTTTGTTCCAAGTATAAAACCAGTGGAAAACAACATCTTAAGCAAAGCTTAGCCAGGGCAGGGCTTCACATTCTCCCCAATGTGTCCTAGGGAGAAAGGAGTATTATGTAGCATTCTCCAAATGTCATTGGGAAAAGACTCCCTTTCTTCTCAGAAAACCTGTTAGAAACTTTTGGATCAAAAGTTCCTGGGATCTAGTGTCTGAGAAACACTAAAAGTCTCCTAGCACCCCTTCCTGTGCTGACATCACTCAGGATTTTTGAGGCAAGGTGCACATATGGCCTTGTCTTCAAGGACTGTGAGCACGTTTCACTCCCCAATGGGCACAGAGGCCCCCAGAGCCCGCACATAGGCATGCCAGTGAGCCGAGGGCCCTAGGCCTTCCTGAGGGCTGGTACTGGTGGGAGAGGATGGCTGCTCCTCCTTCCTTCTCTGCCTCCTGTGCAGACTGTGCTTTCAGAGAACTGGCCTCTCTGTCTTCACCTCCACCTCCCTGCCTGCCCAGTGTCCTGGAAATTGCACTGAAGCAGGACCTGTTCCCCAGCCCACAGGGTCCCAAAGTACAGCCAGAATTTGCTAGAGTGGTAACAAGGAAGCCAGAGGGCTAGGTGCTCTGCAGTGACCCAGTCAGAGGCCAACAAGAAAGGAGGTGCCGCGGGCTGACCAGAGACCAGCCCAGCACACCGGAGCATGCAGGGACAGTGAGATGGAGCACTCTGTGAGTCACACACATGCATCCCATGCGCGCTGTTGTGCAGGTCAGGGAACACGTTCTTTATCTTGGGTTCCTGCAGCAATCGTGCGCTCAAGCTGTTACGCAGAAGGCCTGCAGCAAAGGTGGATCAGGGTAAATAAGTGCACACATCAGGCAGAAAGTGCCCCTGGACCCAATCCCAAGGTGTGTGTGGAGGTGGTGGTGTGGGGGGTCCAGCAAACAGCATCACATTCGACAGGTTCAGTCTTCCAAGGTGACACTTCCCTTCAGATGCCAACCCAGGCTCGCACAGGTGCTTCTGACCAAATGACTATCAGTCAGTTATTCCCAGGACCCCTCAGGCTTGATTAATTGCTAGAGCAGCTCACACAACTCAAGAAACCCGTTTACTCAGTAGGTCACTAATTTATTACAAGGGATACTATTCAGGAACAGCCAGATGGAAGACCCACATAAGGCAAGGTATGGGGGAAGGCGCAGAGCTTCCATGCTCTCCAGGCAAGCCACACACCCCGAAGCACCACCTGCTCACCAACTTGGAAGCTCTCCAAACCCCCTCCTTTGGGGTTTTTACATCATTGTATAGGGATGATTGATTAAGCCATTGGCAGTTGAACTCAACCTCCAAGTCCTCTCCCCTCCCCAGAGGTCTGGTATGGGACCGGATGTACCAAACTTCTAATCACATGCAGTTCCCCTGGCACCCAGTCCCCATCCGTTAGTGTTTCCAAAACTCACCTCATTCACCTAACAAAAGACACCTATATTACTCTCTAACATTCTGGAAATTCCAAAGCTTTGGGTAACTGTGAGTCAGAAACGGTGGATGAACACCTAACAGAGGACAAACATATTTTGGACATTTGAGTGACCAAATACGAATTTATTATAAATCACAATCTGGCATCAAGGGCCTCCCTGGTGGCACAAGGGGTTAAGCACAGTACTGTGAAGCTGTCTGCAGCCTCTGCAGCACGAGTTTGATCCCTGGCCAGCCAGGGAGCTACCCACAAGGTGCGGCAGACCTCTCCTGTCTCGAGTACTGCTCTCCTCAGCAGTGTATTTCAGTTGATCTGCCTGTTCTGCTCCCCACTCTGTCTCTGGTGAGTCCTCTCACCCCCTACAGCTCTGGCCCACAGCCCAGTTCTTGTATGCATAAATAAATAAATAAATCTTAAAAAAAACAATATGACATCAATTAGGGTGAAAACTGTTAAGAAGGAAGGTAGGAGTTGAGAGGAAAGGAAGAGAGAAGGGACATGACAGGGGAGAGGAAGAGGAAGGAAGACAGGATGAATAGGGTAAGGAGTAAGGACATTCTGGATGAAAGCCCAATTTCTTGGCACCTGACTCATTTTATCCCCATAATAACACTTGCAGGTGAACAGCCTCTTCCTCCCATTAGACCTGTAGACGCTGATGCTCTACAGAGATTGCAGAAAGACTGACTGGCTTGCTGGAGGGCACAGAGCTTCCAATGGCAGGGAGAGCTTTGGCCCCCAGGTCTGTGTAACCAGAGGTCAGGAGAGAGAAGTGCCTCCTTCCTCCTACTGCTGGGGAAAGTCCTCAAGAAAGCTTCATGGGAATCACAGGTTCGGGGATCCAGGAGGTACTTCCGGTGCTGGGATCTGGGCTGGATCTTTGCAGTCTGATATCTTGGCCAGCAATGACCTTGGTGTCTGTGCCCACCTCCCCATTCCTGGGGAGAACTGACTTGAGCAACTCTGACTGGTGGGAGGTGGTGATGAAGTGGAACTCTGGACTGTGGAGCAAGGCAGGATGATTAACAAAAAAGATGGCAAGCGACCCAGGTGCAATGCCCCTCGCCCAGCCGCAAACACTTACAGCTTGCCACTCAAGACACCTTTATCAAAGAAGAAAATGATCGGCCAGATGACATTTTATGAGACCGCCCTAAGAACACTTCTTGGATGATGTGTCATTTAAAAAAAGTGTTCGACCCCAATATAAGAATATTTAGTAATGGAATTCCAGACCCCGAAAGAGATAGCATCATGTGGGCACAGCTGCTTGTGCATATGACTGAGTACATAGCTGCAATCCACTGAGATGTACTAGGGGCCTGGCTAACTACCTGACCATGGTAGGCCTTGCCTAAAGACATTGGTGACTTGGTAGAGGAGATAAATGCATGGATTGATGTGGTATCAGAGTGTTACAGATTCTGTAAAAGAAGCAAGCCAGATCAGTGTGGAATCCCAAGGATACAGAGGCAGCTTCCACCTGGAGAGTGAGTAGTACTTAGGAAAGAGAAGGGAGATTTCAGTCAGTTGCCCAGCAGATAGGGACCAGGCCTCTTGGGCCCCTGCAAGAAACTTGAACTTTGTCCCATAGATAATAGCTATAGCCACTGAAGAAATAGGCAGCCAGTGTTCAGTCGCCACCATAAGGATTATGCAGTGATCAAATTAAACAGGACGCAAGATGGAAATGCACTGCAGAAATGTGCAAGGGGTTTCCAGAGGCTTATCAAGGTTTGGACACTGCTCACGGTGCTGGACACGGCCCTCCTCCTGGACGTTACTCCAACCGCCCTATTGTTTAGTCTGGATTTCACAGGACACAACCCATCCTGCCTGCTGGGAAGGAGATCTCATCTGTTTACCAGCAGAAAGAGCAGTAGGTCGAGGCTTCCAGCCAACTGCTAAGTAAATATTAAAGAAGTTTTTCTTCAGTGGAAGGAGATCCTGATGATTTTGTCTTGTTTATGTTCTTCTCAAGGAGAAGCTGCTCTTTTCCTTTACATTCCTTGCCTGAGCATTTTTATCATCATAGCAATGGGGATGGTTTTAACTGGGCAAGTGCCATAAATGGAACTTCAGGGCTTTATTTCTTGCTATTGAACATGTCAACAGAGTGCTATGGAAAGGACGATTCTGGAATCAGACAGAGTTGAACAAAAACCTCCCTCTTCTCACTGACTAACTCTGTGAAGGAGGAAGAGTTACTTAACTTCTCTACGCTCCAGTCTTCTCATCAGAAAATTGAAAATAAACATTTGAATTGGGAGCATTTTGAATAATAAATTCAATAAGAACATGAGCTTGCCAGGGGCCAGGAAGGCTCTGAGATTTTACCTGCTTGCAAATTAACAGGCCAGTTTCCTCAGCTCTGTGGATGCTGACGGAAGATGTGAGAACACTGTGGTCACAGCAAGGCCAGCAAGGCAAGGAACACAACCATATTTATGTGAGTTTTTCTTGTCCCC